TCTCTCTCTCCTCCTCTGTCTCTCCTCCTCTCTGTCTCTCTCCTCCTCTGTGTCTCTCCTCCTCTGTCTCTCTCCTCTCCTCTGTCTCTCTCTCCTCCTCTCTCTGTCTCTCTCCGCGGGATGGGAGGATGCGGTGGATCGTCTGCGGGTATAAACGCGTTTTTTTTTTTCGCGTCCCCGTCTTCGGTTCTCCTGAATAAACGTCACAGATGATGGTGATGAAGATGATGATGAAGAATCTGATGCTTCATATCAGCCCCTCCCCCCTCCTCCCCCTGCAGGCGGAGCCAGGAACTACAGCAGTGCGACAGACTCCAGTCACATTATTTTATCTGCAGACCTGAACGATACATTTTTATTTCCTACATTACCCAGAGTTCCTGTCAGCACAGATACATCAGGACGACAGTCAACATCTGATGTTTGAACAAACAGGAAGTCGAACAACTCGATGCAGGAAACAAACAGGTTTAATTGAAGAACAGAGTATTGCACAGCACACACACGGCCTCTTCTCACTCCTCACACTGTCTTCACTGTCCCACAACGGCAGGACAACGATCAGACACACTCTCATCCTGATTCATGTCACACTCAGGTGAAGGAATCAAATGCACCTGAAGAGATTTTAAACATCAGTGTCTCCAGCATTTATTTGATTACATGTGATTTAATGATATAAATCAGTGTTTATAATGTTTTTATTTAATAGACAAAATGTTTTAACCAATTATATTTTTGTATTCAGTTGGTTGTAATCTTCAGCTTCACTACTAGATGTCGCTAAGTCTGAAGCTTTGGTAGAAAACACTACAGTTTTCATTTTTTTTATAAAAGAAGAAAACTAAAAAATGTCAAACATAAACGATCATAACGTTAGAAAAACGTTTTGTTGCTGAGGATACGTGTGTGAATCTCTGTGCTTTCAATGATGTGTGTTTAAACGTGTTCTGATCGTGTGTTCATCAGTTAAAAGAACGTTACAAATATTTAGAACGATAAAACTGAAGAAATTAAAATGTTGTTGTGGGCGTGACCTCTGTGACATCATCACCACAGACCAGCATCCTCAACATTTTTGTCCAACGAGCTTTCAAAATAAAACATCCAGAGTCCGCTGATGGTTTGTCAGTTTCAGGGGGTTGAACCGAAAACCTGCTGCTGATGAATATCTGCAGTTCACTTCTTTTCTTCTTTTGTTTTTGTGACTTTTTTGGCAGCTGTGGGACACCGTAGTTGTCGCTGAATTCAACTACATTTCCCATAAAGCACCACTGTTGATGGTATCCATGGCAACTTAAAAAGGTCCAAACATGAGAGGGAAAAACAAATACTGCATCACCTCCTCCTTCATCCCTCCTCTGCTTCTCTTCACTTCCTCCTCCTCTCAGCTCCATGGAGGGATCTCTTCTCCAAACTTAGCACAGTGAGCAGCATTTTTAGCTTCAAACAGAACCTGACGAGAGAGAAGATGAATTAAAACAGTGAATGAGTGAGTGAGTGAGTGAATGAGTGAGTGAGTGAGTGAGCTCTGATGGGTGTTACCTGGTTGTGGACGTAGGACTCACACAGGTAACACCACACAGAGAGATCAGAGAAGCTCAGGACCAGAGGATGTTCAGATACGACGCCGTGAGTCACCATGTGTTCGTTCACATAACGACCACACAACACCTGAGAGGGAGAGAGAGAGAGAGAGAGAGAGAGAGAGAGAGAGAGAGAGAGAGAGAGAGAGAGAGAGACACACACACAAAGAGAAAATCAGCCGTTTGAACTTGAACTTATTCTGGATCAAAGTGTGTAACTGACCCCAAAGCTCAACCTCCAGGAGGAGGAAGTGAAGAAGAAGAGGAGGAGGAGGTGAAGAAGAGAGGGAGAAGAGGAGGAGGAGGTGAAGAAGAGAAGGAGGTGAAAGAGGCGATCCTCAGGGTCACTTGAGTGAAGGTGATGTGAGACCTGGTAGCAGGTGAGACAGATCCAGTTCTCAGCTTCAGAGCCACAGTCCTGACACGGCATGTAGATGTTTATACCTGAGGAGGGGAGGGGCTTAACAGAGTCCAGGTGAGGACACCAGGAGAGAGGGTCGACCACGTATAGTGATGACTGACAGAGACAGACAGACAGACAGGTTAATCTCAGATCGGTGTCTCCTCAGACAAACTCATCGTATCAAATGTTTCCTGACTTCTTCTGTTCGTCCTCCACACGTCAGCTCCACACACATCTGAGGCTTTGACCAACCACACGCCCCTGCTGCCTCAAGCTCCGCCCCAGCTCCTCCAGCAGCTTCATCTCCGACAGGAACAGCAACAATCTGAAACCATTAAAAAGATCAAGAAGCGATTTCAGAAAATGAACCAGTCACTTTGTGATGTCACAGTATGATGTCACAGGTGTTACAGATGAAAACTGGACCAATCACCTGAGTCTGGGGCAGTGTGCTGTCTGCTGATTGGTTCTGCTCACATACGGCTAGACTGCCGGACTCCGCCTTCACTTCACCCTCACATGTGACCTCCGGGCTGGGCCGGACCTTCGCCCTGGCCCCGCCCACTGGAGTGGACGTTGCAGGTGCGTGACTGACGGAAGTTTGGCTGATGTCCAAACTGGCCAATCCCTGAGTGAGCTGGTGAAGACTCTGCTCTGCCTGATTGGACGAAAAGAGACACCAGGTAGAGACAGGGTTACAGCAGGTTCCAACACGGTTCCAGTTTTATATGATTGTCTGAACTGTCACCGCTGAGTCCTTCGCTCCTGCAGGGGGCAGCAGGGGTCTGTCTGTGCCGCTCTGCTCTGACTTCCTGCCTTTTCCTTTCGAACTACGTTTCCCACGATGCTTCAGGGGGGGCAGAGATGCCCGCACCAACTCTGGGACTGACAAAAAAGAACGATATGAAATAAACAAATCAACAAACAAATTAAAACTAAATAAACGCTCCCTGTACTGACTGTTTATCCTCAGGGACCTCCAGTAGGGGGCGTGGTGTCGGATGACCTCGTTAATTGTTGCCACAGCGCCGTGATGAGGAGGGGGGAGTGGGGTCACCAGGGATGGAGGAGGGTCTCCTAGCAACATGCTGGTGCACATCGCCATGGACTCAGAGATGGACGACAAGTTGTAACCTCCCTGAAGAGACGGAGACAAGAATGAGTCACAGCTCAACTACGACGAGTCAGAGGCGATGACGTCACCAGGAAGAGAGGTCACACTGTTTCCATTAATAAGTGATGACATCATTTGATTTCACATTAATACACGTTTCTTTGTTTGACATCACTTCACCTCCAGTATGAGAAGGACCCGCCCCCCGGCCAGTGACATCAGCAGGTGTGTGAGGTGGGCGTATCCCTCAGGGGTCACATGATATCCACCTAGCGGGTCACCCCGTGCTGCATCGAACCCGGCCGACACCAGGATCAGACCAGGGTTAAACTGCAAAGAGGGGATCGACCAATCAGAGGACTCCGTCAGTTCTGACCAGAGTGTGTGAGTGTGTGTGTGTGTGTGTGTGTGTGTGTGTGTGTTTGATACCTCGGTAGCTATCGGCATGACAACGTGGTGAAAAGCAGCAAGGTATTCGGAGTCGCCCATCCGTCCTCCGCTCCACGCCACGTTGACGTTAAACCCTGCCCCTTTGGCCACACCCACTCTATTTGGGGCGGCATCCTCTGATGATGGAAAGAATATCCCGTTGTCATAGCGATGGAGGGAGATGTACAGGACACTGGAGACAATGGAGAGTGAGAGTCCATCATCATGTTGCATCACACATCTCCTCCTCCTCCTCCTCCTCCTCCTCACCTGTTGTCGTCCTCGAACATGTGTTGCGTCCCGTTGCCATGGTGAACGTCCCAGTCCAGGATGAGGACTCTCAGTGGTGCAGGTTGGGAGATTTTCTGGGCATGACGAGCGGCGAGTGCTGCTGTGTTGAAGAAGCAGAAGCCACATGGAGAGTCTCTCTCTGCGTGATGTCCCGGAGGTCGCACGATCGCCACGCCGTTACTCACCTGTAGAGGAAACAGTCTGTGATAAGAGCTCACCTTCACAAGGTGTGTGTGTGTGTGTGTGTGTGTGTGTGTGTGTTACCTCTCCTCTCAGGATTCTCTCCACAGCATTAAAACAGCCTCCGGCTGCAAGCTGAGCAGAATGAAAACTCTGGTTGTTGAAGAAGATCGAGTTAAACTCTTCTCCAAGTTTATGAAGATCTCTGGACTTCATCACTGACGATGATTTAATGAGCTCCACATGCTGCATACTGACACACACACACACACACACACACACACACACACACACACACACACACACACACACACAGTCACAAAGTGTTTCTACTGTTAAGTTATTTTTAATAATAATAAAAGTCACATTCAGATATTAAAGTTTTCTGTCCACTGAGATGGCTTTTAATTTGAAAATGTCACAGGAAAGTTAAAAACTGATGAGTCGTAATCTGAACATGTGATGTCACAACCTTCAGCTTCACGTCTGACGAGGTCAGAGGTAAGTACCTGTGACACATGGTCAGCTCCTCCTCTGTTGCTGGGCGCGCTGGTATCCGCTGGCAGCGTTTGACCAATCCGAGCTGCTGGTGTTTGGAGAAGATCTTGGAGATTCTCTGCGGCTGCTCCGGGTGATGTCTGCGACACACGGTTCACGGTTCAACGCTTCGTCAGGTCTGCCACATCAAGCTCACGCGACCGGCCCACACGTGACTCACCTGTCCCACATGTTCAGATGCTCCATCATCCTGTCATCATAAACCAGACCTGTTGTCGTGACAACAGAGGGGGCGGAGCTGGGCTGCTTCGTGCTCTGCTCATCGCTCATAGCTCTGATGACACTGCCCTCGGCCAATGAGCTGCCTTCTGCACAGAAACCAGGAAGAGAGAAATTCAGGAAGTAAAGATGTGAGACAGGGTTAGACCTGATTCTATTACAGGTATGAATGTACAGGTGAAGCCATGTTTTGACCTAAGTCCCACCCCTCCACCCTGACTCCCCCGTCTCCACTGTGTGCATCTTACCCAGCACCTGCAGACTCGCCCAGTGTGGGTACTGAGCACTAACGGTCCGGGAGATCGACTGCAGGGCACTGAAAGAGAGAGAGAGAGAGAGAGAGAGAGAGAGAGAGAGAGGTGGGTGGAGCGCGCTCAGTGCACAGGTGAGACGTTACAGGACTGACGGTCACATGACTCACAAAGACAGCAGCTGTTGTGGGAAGCGTATCGAGTGAAAGGCATGCTGGGATACAGAGACAGAAGTTGGTCACATGACT